GATTATTACAATTATATATTTTAATTAATAAATTTTTATTAACATCACATTTTTTTTTTATATGTATAAGTCAGATCATACAATAAGCACAAAATATCATATAAATGTACCAAATTAGACGGGTACACAAATCTCTCGCACATCGAATAATAAGTATATCAAATCACAGAACAAGTACAATATATTCGGATATCATACGAGACGGATCACACATTGCATTATACCGTGAGCCTTTCTTTGCCCAAACTATTACTTCCTCTCTTTCAATATACTTGAGAGTGGGTATTAGATTTCTAAACCCATCTTAATTTGATATGTATATTTCTCCAAAATCCAACATGCCAAACATTACCTGATTCAATTACATCATTCACTTAGTTATCCATTTTCATTACCATCCCTAAAATTTATTTTCTTTCTCTTATAAATATATATTTTCATCCAAGCATACACTAGATCCTATATATGTTTATATACATACTTACAGACACGCACAGGTTTTATATTACATATACACATTGAACATAATACAAATATCATTTATAGTTTCCCACTCACTCGCACACAAGCAGATTGCAGAGCGTATAAACCGAAAAAACTCGAGCCAGCAAAACCTGTATAAGCTGTACAACAACACTAGTAGAAAATTAGGGAATTTTGTCAATAAAACACGCCCGGAAAGCCCACATCGGTTCGGACCTCCTCTTCCCTGTACGAACTTGCACCTTCCAAGCATCAAATTTATCCATTTATCAATCAAATCCCAATATATGGCTTCGGGGTTAGGTTGTCAGAACACTTACCCAAGGTTCGGTCAGAAAAAGGTACCGGAATCCCTTCACAGCTCGATTTTGGATCCTCCCTAATCTGCGGCCACTTCTCGATTTGAATCGTAGTTAGCTGGGTTAAATTTTGTAGACGAAGTTAGTGGATTGAGTTAGGGTTCATTCCATTAAATTACGTATTAGTTAATCTGTGTAATTTTTGCATTATTTATTAAATATTTTTAATTAAATTCATCATATTAATTGAATTAACATTCTAATTTTAGGCCCGGTGTCCAAACCCATTTTAAAACTTTACTTAAATACCCAGTCCAAATTAATTAACTCCTCTGTTTTCAGTGGTCCACTTTCCCTTGGGGGGGCCAGAACTTGCTCTACCTTACAAAAATCTAATACTATTACTTCCCGAGTACATTTAGAGAAAAAAAACACATTACAAAAAAGGAAAGTAGTATTGAAAATTAATTTAATAAGTATGCTGTAGCATTTGATTTCACCTTTAAAAAATTCACAATTTTCGTTTTTTATTTTTATAATAATTTCTGGAGGATGAAATTTCAGTGACTCCGATTCTCCTTTTCTCTTCCTGCCGCGATCCACTTCTCTCTCCTG